CTTGCAAATATGCCTGAAAGACAACCAAAAAACTTAAGTACGGTTTAATGTTTTGTTTTTCATTCAGTTTATTTCAATGAATGAAAAATTACAAAGACAATCAAATGCTGTTTGATATTCTATAAAGATCTGCGCGGTTTTAAGAACGTTGAATTGACGCAAAACGACCTTTCGCCATCCACCGATGTCACTGGACCCAATTAAGAATACGATATTTTCAGTGGTGTTAGTGCATCGATGTAGTTTTCACCGACATTTTACTCCAGAATGGGATAAATTTTGAATTTTAACTATGTCGTCGGAACTTATACAACAGCGAAATATATTTTTTANGACAGAATTATTTCAGTGTTCCTCCGGGGTTTTTGGACATGGACTCTTTCTTCAATTTAATAGTGACATAGAGCGATAACTAATGTATAAAACTGCTTTAACAGAAATGCCAAACGATTTCTTAGTTTTATATAACTATCATTTGAATGAATGTGACTGGTGGGACACTGAATAGAACTCTATTTTGCCCTTGTGCACTCAAATATGAATTTTAGCCAAAACACACAATTTTCACGAACAATGTATTTGTATTGTAAAATATGTATTTTACGCTTTCGTGTTCAATAAAAATGAGGTTTATATAATCTTCATAAAAATATTTAAAGTTGTGACTAGTGGGGCAGCTCCTTGTGTCTGGTGTAAAGTAATTATGCATGAAATAGAAGTTTCCAAAGACAAAAATTACTACTTCTTTTCATGTTTCTAATATTTTCCCACAGGTTAATGAAATGTAGTCATTTAAAAAGAGGTTACTACAGAAATAGAGATAATTAGGGCATATTTAAATTTATGTCGTTTTCCCCTTTTCAATGGAATGACTCTGTTACTAAAATTAATGCGGAGATATCGTTGCGGGAATAAAGAAACAGTGCAAGTACCACATATACTATTATTCGATAATCGTACCATTGGATAGACAATCCTTTAATCTATTAAACAAATCTTTAGTTTTCTTAAATATCTTTTTGGACCACGAACTTCCTCGCGAAAAACGAAATTTTATAATAACAGTGTAGGTATTACAATTGTTTACAAATAGTGCATGGGCACTTGGACTATTATTAAGAAAATTTCAAAGAAATTCTTGTATTAAAATAACGTTAGAGCATTTTACTTCATTATATTGCTGCTAACTTTCACAGGCAGTTTCAAACTGTGAATAATAAAATAGTAGGTTTGTTCCACAAGCTACTCGAAGTCACTTCGAGTTACACATACGCTGACAGTTTGAACTTTGCTCGAGTTTTTCTACAAGTAGCTTGTGGAACAAACCATGATACAAAAAAGAAGGTAGTTCCATTTAATGACATTCGTTGTTGTTGCTAACCATTTGACTTTTAATAAAATTATGACATTTCATAAAATTCATGCTACCTGATCACCAGAGATAATATTTTTTTTTTTTGTAAAAGTAAACAAAAATGTATGAAAATGAGTGAAGTTTAGTGAAGTTATTGATCATATATGAAAGGAGGGCTGCATGACCATCCGTCACCTCTCGAATTCAAGTACAGATTTCGATCATACCTTCTAGGTAATTTTTTAACCACTTAAAGAAATTATTGTTGTTGTCATAAAGATTCTAAAATGTATGCATGAACTTTATTAGGGCGAAACGAAACTATTTTGAGCACGGAAACAAATGTTGAGTCTTCAAGTGAAGTAATGTTAAAATTTGAAGAGGAGTTGCTCAGTGAAAATGCTTTCAAACCACTTAACGATATTGAAATATCCGCAGAAGAAGAACTCGAGGTAAACTCCTTACCCTTTCGTTTTTATTTGATTTCTAATTTTTTTAAGTAGCTCGCAGAAGAGCATGAAGCAGAAGATTTCATCAGTCCACTCAAAGATGTGGAATATGATGGACTTGAAAATTTTGCCGGCTACATAATTTCGAAAATGGGGTTGACAAAACTAGGCTTCAGGACGCATGTAGAAAGTGATCAAAATTATACGTATGTTAACTGTTTATCGGAGGGCGGTCTGTACAAGCCTAATTCAAGTTTTTTGCATACATTGGAAATTTTGAATTCAAAATTTGTTGAAATTAATGGTGATTCGCTAACCACAAAGCCAAAATTTTTGCAAAATCTGATGAGAAATTTAAAAGTAAATTTGGACTAAAATATTATAAAAAGATTTTATTTGGGAAGAACATTCTTTAGAATTCGATTTTTAAATCGCAAGATTAAAGAAACGAAAATTGTATATCAAAATAAGAAAATGAAAAAAATAACAACATAATGCATTAATGGTTTTTATTATAAAATAAAAAGAATAATTACAATGTAACAGTTTACATTTTATATATTTTTAATAAAAGAGGGGCAAACCACGTAAGTAAAAATATATCAAGTACTGATTGTGAGTTTTGATTTGAAATATTCTCAAATTGGTAAAAATATGGCAAAGAAAATACTCCGATGTATTGTTTTAATATTATCAAAGTGGCAAGGCCGTTGATAATACTGACAATTTATGAAACTTCAAAAAATTTTATTATCCGTCAAAAGTTGTTTATTGAAACTACCTTCTTTTTTGTATCATGGAACAAACCTAGTGTAATATCGACATACATACATCAATTAGTTTTTCTGAGTTTTCAAACAAATAAAATAGTGTACAATGATTTCAAATAAAAATGTTCAAAGATAAAATAGTGTATAAGCAGATGCTTTCAGAAAAATGGGCTCAAATGGTATTTCTAAGTAAACATGGTACATAATTTTTTGTTAATTAACAGCTAAGGAATAAATAAAAAGTGTGGTGTATTTAAATTGTGAATATTTTGAATAAGAAGCGCACAGTTAAAGTTTAAATTTGGTCGATTGGATTATAAAAACTTTGAATTCGTTTTTCTCAAAACTATACTTTACATGTTACACTACTTCATTATTCCAGCAACGATATGAATCCTTAATTTCTAAACTGAGTTTAATATTTTTAAATACATATTACCTATTCTCCGTTTGAGAACAAATTATTTTTAATCTCTTCAACAACACCAATGCCTTCCCTTCCCTTTGCAATTTTTGTGTCTCAGCTGGAATGCAATTGAAGTTAGATAAGAGTTAATAAAATCCAAATCTGTTTTTATATTATCGTTTCTGAACTTTCGTTTAGTTCAGTGATTCCCAAAGTGGTCCAGGTGGACCCTCAGGGGTCCAACGGAGGCTCGATGGGGTCTACGTTGGCGTTAAAAAAAATGTGGGGGTCCACGAGTTGTAAGTGGGGGTACACGAAAATTCATCTGGTTTCGATAGTAAAGAACCAAAATGGTTGCTTGATAGCCCATTTATTCATCTTTAATTTTTTTGAGTGATGTAAAGGGCTCTTGACGCACTGGTGAACTTACCGTCACTTTGTGTCATCATAAGTGGGGAAGCCTTAAAGGCCACCTGCAGACTAAAAAGAAACGGGTGTTGGTTGGTATGACACTGAGTGAGGCGATGCGAAAATTGGCGGTGGCAGATATTTGAGTACTTTTGTATTTTAAATGTTACAGGATAGTACGCCTTCATTACATTTGTTGAAGAGATTCTAGAGAGAGAGAGAGTTCTCTGAGGAGGAATGCTGGTTTAATTCCAGCACTGAGCCCGCACTCATACATTGTCGAATCTTCACTGATAGCTCCAAAACTGACTCAGAGTCAGGATCTGGAGTATTTTTCAAAGTACATGGGGATAAGCTACATTTTTATTTTGGGAATATGCTTCAGTCTTCCATGCTGTGGTATTTGCAACCCCCAAAGCCATAGACTACGTGGTGGAAAATAGGTGGAGGGGAAGGAGTTTACGTGTCGACAGGTACAGCCAAGCTGCACTTAAGGCATTGACCAGCCCTCTATCTAAATACTTCCAAACTAGTTCGGCAATGCAAGTATCGACTAAATTATGCTGGTAAAGATAACGAACGAGCTTGCTTTACTCTGGGTGCCGGGCATCTCGGACATCTGACTCTTTGGCCGCAGTTGGCTCAGACCAGGCATTCCTCGATCCGCATCCAGTTATAGCGTTGCCCACTTCGATCATCGAAGCCACCATCACAAACTGGGTGGATACTTCGCTCAGCAATGACTGGGAGCCATTGAGTGGATGCAGGTGGGCAAAACACATGTTGCGTTCAATCTCAGAAGGTCTATCTAGTTTTTTCCTCTTACTGAGAAGACGGGACTGCTGACTGGCCACTTTACGTGACGCAAACATCTGACTGTGATAGGTGTAAATGAGAACTCCATTTGGCCCTCCTTCTTTGAAGAGCTTCTTGCTTGCTTGTTTATTTATCATCGATTTATCTAGATTCGGTCTTTTCTTTTTTGTCAGTTTCTGAATTTGAAGTTTGGCGTAAAAAGCTTTGTAATTTTGTTGTTTCAAGTTTTGTGTTTTAAAAATGCGAGGCCCGAATATTTTTAGCATCACTTTAAAACTTGGAGGGATAAAAATAAAAATTATGCCATCAACACAAATAAACTCTTTGACACATAATAAC